GGTCTATGCTTAAGACGAATGATAAACAAATAAATAAATAAATAAATAAATTTATTATATTGATTTAAAAAACATTTTTATTTATTTATCGTTATAAACGTTTAAAAAATAATTTATTATTTAAAAATATTAGCCAATCAGAATTGTGGAATTGCGGATTACTAACCGCAATTTGACTCCAAAATCCGCAATATTGCGGATTTGAAAAATCATTTGAGGGCCCATCCTTACCTTAAACAATTGTAATAATCATACTATTTCATTATTTCACTGATTGATTAAATAACGCCTTCGCCCTTAAACTACTGTTTCACTGATAACGTCTTAATTATAATAAGTCCTTCTCCTACCGTAATACTAATTTAAAACAAAGTCTTGCTCCTATCGTAACACTGATTAAAATAAATCCTTTGTTCTTACATTCCTACTTTAACACTGATCGATTAAAAATAAAACCTTCACCCTTACACAATTTTGAATTTAAAATATCATCAAAAATAACAGAAGTTTTTTTACGACATATATATTATAAAAATAGTTAACTATAAAGTTGTATATATTAGCGAAACTTCATAAAATAAACTTTGTAAACTTGAAAATGTGAAAAAGCCGTCTTTCGTTAACTAGACCATTCTCTTTGCGAAAAGGTACAAAATTTTCTGGACGTAATATTCTTCCAAGGCATAAGAAGTTAAGTTCGTATAAGTAAAAATAAATTGGTATATAAATAGACTTGAATAACCATCGGGAAATTTTTTGGGGTGCAGATCTGCGCAGATCTGCAGGTGACATTTTTACACAGATCTGAGACACTGTAGGCAGTATTTGGAAAAAAAAATTCATCAAAAACTGCGCAGAATTTCAAGAAACAAAATTCTGCGAAAATTTTTAAAAAATAAATAATGAAATTCTGCGAAGATTATAAAAAAACAAATAACGAAATTCTGCGAAGATTTTTAAAAAATAAATATTCGAAATAATTCAAATATATTTAATTTCACTGATCATCACAATTATTACAAACAATTTTATATATAGTAATTTATTTAATATGTAATTTATTTAATAAAATATATTCAAAAAAAATTGAAGAATTTCAAATACAAATTTCCGAATTCTGAAAATTAATGTAATACGAAGAAATTTGACGAATGTTAAGAGAATTTCGAATCTAAACTCTTGAGCNATTTGAAATAATTCAAATATATTTAATTTCACTGATCATCACAATTATTACAAACAATTTTATATATAGTAATTTATTTAATATGTAATTTATTTAATAAAATATATTCAAAAAAAATTGAAGAATTTCAAATACAAATTTCCGAATTCTGAAAATTAATGTAATACGAAGAAATTTGACGAATGTTAAGAGAATTTTGAATCTAAACTCTTGAGCTGTAAATTTTTTTGATTTAGATTATTAGTAAAATAAATTAACGCAGTGTAAAAATCATTATATACCAGATAATAACTTTGACTTACTAATTCTTCGTAACTACTACTATTACCATCATCAGCATCGCTCGATTCTTCGATAATAGACGAAATCTCTGGACTTTGTTCTGAATCTTCTTTCGCCGCTAACTCCTGCAACAAACGCGGAGTTACAGTAACTTTATTTTTGATCGATTGCTGATAATTGATTATACATTAATATTTGCGAAATATTTTAAAATTTTTAACTTCAAAGTACTAATAAACGTTATTATTACCATAAGAAAATCAACTCTCTTTAAAACTAACTTGTCATTGCATTTAATCCCAGGGCTACTGGGATTTAAGACAATATCGCAGATGGCGAGTACATAAACCCAGTGTTCTGGAGGAAGCTCACTGCCTTCGTATGATTTGAAAACAGAAGAAATTATTTTCGTGAGAATACCTTGATTTTCGAAAAGTTCTCGATATGCTTCTCGCGTTTTTGCACTTTTTTTCCATTCAGCAATCTTTTTAGAGGACGCACTGCTATCCACACGTTCTAATTTCTGCTCACCGAAGTTAGAAAACATAGTATTTTGAATATTTGCCGCTAAATCATTTCACTTACTTCGGCATTTGTTTTTTATCTTAATAATCAAATAATTTTGGATTATTATTATTATTATTATTATTGATTATTATTAATGATTTCACGTACTTCTAGTAATAACTTTGATTCGAATAGGGAAACCCACGTATTTCTTCTGAGATTTTCAATATAATGACTGGCATGTTCAGCGAGGTATTTCTCTAAAGCTTCTAAGGTTGCTTGTCTAAACCTCTTCAAAATCCTACGATTAGTTTCATCAAAATTTTACTATAGATTTATTATAGTTTCGGCAGAGTTTTGGCAGTTTCGGCATTTATAATAAGTTTCAGCAGTTTCGTCTTTCTCCAAAGTTTCGCCAGTTTTTTAATATAACTTTAATATAGTTTTGGCAGAATTTCGCTTTTCGGCGAAACGCCATCTTGCCTAAACCCCTAGGTTTCGGCAAGCAACCTTAAAAGCTTCACGGTACTCCGTATCTGAGGAAAATAGGATCTTCGGAATAAGTTCTTTGGACACCTTTTTATATGCGCGCTGTAAAGACAATCAGTTATTTTTAAATATCTTGAGATCAAATAAAGTTGCTAAATCTATTAAAGTAACTTATGTTCCAAAATTCATCCGAAAGCTCATCAACTACCACAAGTCTCTGTATCATTTTAGAATCTAATCATTGTTGCTCACTAATACGTCAGCACAATCAATATATTGAAGTGATTTTTTCGTCTAATAATTTCATAGTATAGTTGAATTTCTCAATTGTAAGGTAACGTTCGTCACGTTCTTCGAAGTTACAATATTCGTCATCAATTTGCATAGGTGTGATAGGTGTAGAAGCTCTGATAGGTGTGGGTGCTTTGATAGGTGTGGAAGTTCTTCGGTTTGAATCATCATCGGGTTTAGTTGGAGAATTTTCAAGATTTCTTGTTGAATTATTACCAACAATGGGCGTTAATGATCTACCCTGATTTTTTTTTGGCTTGCCACTTTTGATACTTTTTGTAGGATTATTGGATGTTGAAGACTTGAGAATTTCATCTGAAACAACCAACACAAACGGTCCTTCAGTATGGGGTGTTGAAGTTAAAATATTATCGTAATCAGGGCCAGTACGAGTTTTAGTATAAGATGTTGAAGCTGAAGCATTATCATCAACATTTCCTGTATCTTGTGATGATACATCATCAGCTGTTGGTATCGATTGAACAAGCGAAGATTAATTATAATATTAAATTAATGTAAGAAATGCAATTCCTTGACGGACTGTACCTGATAAAATTTGAGATAATATATTTCCAGTTTTTTGAGAAGCTTCATCTTTTTTTTCCGGACTATTATGGGAAACTTTCATTTTTTTCTTTGCATTTTTTCCAGTTTTTTTCTTAGTATTTTTCATTGACATTATTAACAACTAATTTAGAAAATTGTATAGGAAAAAATATACTTGAAATTTACGAAACAATTTAAATAAAAAATTGATTACCGAAATAAATAAAAAAATCCAAAATCTATAAATTAAATAATTTAATTATCAGTAAAAATATTAATTAAAATGATTAAAATCTGTAAATTAAAATGATTAAAATTTAAAAATAGAAATAGTTAAAAATCTGTAAATTAAAATGATTAAAATTTGAAAATAGAAATAGTTAAAAATCTGTAANATTTTTTTTTGGCTTGCCACTTTTGATACTTTTTGTAGGATTATTGGATGTTGAAGACTTGAGAATTTCATCTGAAACAACCAACACAAACGGTCCTTCAGTATGGGGTGTTGAAGTTAAAATATTATCGTAATCAGGGCCAGTACGAGTTTTAGTATAAGATGTTGAAGCTGAAGCATTATCATCAACATTTCCTGTATCTTGTGATGATACATCATCAGCTGTTGGTATCGATTGAACAAGCGAAGATTAATTATAATATTAAATTAATGTAAGAAATGCAATTCCTTGACGGACTGTACCTGATAAAATTTGAGATAATATATTTCCAGTTTTTTGAGAAGCTTCATCTTTTTTTTCCGGACTATTATGGGAAACTTTCATTTTTTTCTTTGCATTTTTTCCAGTTTTTTTCTTAGTATTTTTCATTGACATTATTAACAACTAATTTAGAAAATTGTATAGGAAAAAATATACTTGAAATTTACGAAACAATTTAAATAAAAAATTGATTACCGAAATAAATAAAAAAATCCAAAATCTATAAATTAAATAATTTAATTATCAGTAAAAATATTAATTAAAATGATTAAAATCTGTAAATTAAAATGATTAAAATTTAAAAATAGAAATAGTTAAAAATCTGTAAATTAAAATAATTAAAATTTAAAAATAGAAATAATTAAAAATCTGTAAATTAAAATGATTAAAATTAAATAAAATAATTAAGAAATCTGCAAATTAAAATGATTAAAATTTAAAAATAGAATGATTAAAAATCTGTAAATTAAAATAATTGAACCTCTGCGCCAAAAATGTAAAAAAATCAAAAAAAATCAAAAAAAATTGAGAATTCACACAAACGAAAGAAATATCAAATTCTTCATTAAAATTCGCAAATTCACAAAATTCATAATTTCGCATTAATTAAAATAATCATTAATAAAATCACTAAAATTCGCTTAAAATTAGCAAAGAACAAATAAAAACAAATATTTACTATACCGCAAATAAATCCTCATAAATTGTTCTTCAAATAAAAATGGTTAGATATCAATGCCAAATTTGTAAAAGAGAATTTTCAACTTACGGCGGTTTAAAACAACATGCCAATGCTAAACATCACGGGAAAATGAGATCTTCCCAACTAAATGAGTCACCAGTAAAGCAAAGATCTTTGTTGCAGCCATTAAGAGAAATGATAAAATCAGAACATGATGCAGAACTTTGGAGCACGTCAATTATTATGCCAAACCCAACTACTTCGCAAGAAAAGCTTACATCACAGGATGATGATGATGAGATGAAGCAATTTGAACCTTCATCTCAAGATGAAGACTTAGTAAATATTGCAAATGAGTTAGAAGATGAACCACGTTATCATTTGCGAAAAAGGTTATGGTCAGAAGAGAGGGTCGAAGCAAATTTTGAAGAATCAGAAGCAGAATTAGAATTAGTAAACTTTGAAAATACTGAATTCATTGATCCTGAAGACCTTCAGGGTGCGTCATTAGATGATGCCATAGATGTAGTTGATGGAAAACCCATACCAGAGCGCGTAGTAAAATAGCCGAATGATGCATATCGTGACTTTTTGGAGTTGATAGTAGAGGGTAATATCTCTAATAAGATAGGTGATAAAATAATAAAGTTTTTCAACAAACATAGTAATTTAGACAAATCACCATTGCAAAGTTAAACGAAAAATGGCAAGGATTATCTTAATCAAATAAATTCACCTTTGATAGACTTTAAAGAAAAGGTTGTTAAGACCTATAATAAAATTAATTTTACCCTCTACTATCGCCCACTTTTTCGTGCTATTCAAGCTCTTCTGCAACGACCAGAAGTAGCCAATAACTTTGTCCATAAAGGAATCCAAAATAAAATGAAGGTCTGTATAATAATTTGATTTCCGTCTGCAATAATAAATTACATTATTTATGCTTATTTAGTTGTTTATATTCTCAGGATGATAGAGGTGAAACAAGAATATTTGGCGAACCTTTCGAAGGTAACTGGTGGTTAGAAACTGAAAAGAACCTTCCATCATTAAATCGACTATTGTCCATCATTTTATACTCAGACGCAACAACTTTCGATGGACTTGGGAAATCATCAGGCCATCCAGTTTTTGTAACTCTTGGTAACATTCCAAATCGTGTTCAAAATTTGCCGGAGGCTAAAATTCTTTTAGGATTTCTCCCTAAAGTCCAAGATACAGGAATCAAAACAACTTTTCAAAGCTTACAGCACGATGTATATCATAAATGCTTCAAAATTATGCTCCAACCTTTATTAGAAAAATCTGAAGCGCTATATTTTGGAATTAATGGACAAGTGATTACTTTCGCTGCACGGATATCTTTTTTTCTAGCAGATATGCTTGAAGCTGATGATATAACTGCAACATATAAAGGAGCGCAGTGCAAAATGCCATGCCATACTTGCATGGTTTTGCAAAGTGATCTGAACAATATGAGTCTTAAACTAGAGAACGTACCTCATAGAACTCATGAAAATATGAAGCAAGTAATCAACGATGGCCAAGGAAAGGAGTATTCTGTGCATTCTGTTGAAAATTCCTTCTGGAAATTTCCGTAAATATCTTTATATTTCTGTAATGAATTTCAAAAATGTAAATTTTTATGCACATATAATTTGTTTCAGAAATTTGAATATATACGAAGCCTGCGTTCCTGACCGTATGTATACTTGCCGCCCATTTAAAATCCCCTCCCCTCCCATCACATATTCCATCCCATCCCAAATCCCAATCCCAAATCCCATCCCATCCCAAATCCCAAATCATCCTAAATACTTGTGTAACATTTCTCCCATTGGCCAATTATCACGTGACGTTACACAAACTTCCAAAAAAGGAAATTTTGCCTCCCGCAAAAAATGGGCGGATTTGGTTTCACAAGTATTCCAAAAAAGGAAATTTCTATGCCGATCACATAATTCCGGCCGTAATATTTTAGTCTAATGTTAATTCAGGTCAGAATTTAGTTTAAATCCTTATCCTACATACACCAATTTTTAAGAGATTTACCGATCAGATTTTAATGAAATTTATATCATTGGATTTGTCTTGATGCAAGGAATTTAATGGCAGTGAAATTATATTCCTAACATTAATATTGACTAAGTTATTATAAAAAATGTATTTTATAATATATATTATTAAATAACATGTATAAAGCAAGCAATAATTGGTTACTTTTAATATAAAAAGTTTTTAAAATATATTTATTCAATTTATTATTTTATAAATTTTATTACAATTTAACTTTGAATTAACTTAAACCTATCTATTAATTCATCAAAAAAAGTTTGATTATTTATTTCTAATATATATAATTTGATAGATATTATTATTATTGCATAAATATTTAATAAAATAATATTTACAAACCAGGAATTAATTTACTGTTAATCTAAAAAAACAATATCAGCAGA